GGTGCGAACTTTGGAAAGCCTGTGGTCAACATTGCATACCGCGAGCCGCTCTTGGGATGATTATTTCGAGTTCTTGTCGATGCTTGCAAACTTTGGGCAATACGAAGCTGGCATAGTTCTCAATAATGGGTTCCTTCTCAAGTGCCTTGAAATTGTCTGGCTTGACCACGAGGACTCCAAGCGACTGCGACGGCAGTACGCTTTCATCATTAAGTTCATGGAGAAAGGCAGGCGCTTCTCATACAGAAGACTCATGGATCTCCTAGCCTACCTATTAGCACGCATTGACCTCACTGTGCCGCCCAGTCAAGATGACAAACGACGAACCTTGCCAGATGGCAGGTACACACTTACAATGTCGGAAGCCATCTTTATTCGGCCGCTGGGGAAGAGCAATGAGTTGTCATTTCTGACAACAGTTCTCACGCACAACAGCAGTCCACCGGCAAGCAGGAATATCGTTACTCTTTTTGTGGACGCAGAGCCTGATGCTGGCCTTATGGATCCAATCTGTAGGACCCTGGAAGAAGGCCTCAGGCTGGCACCAGCCAGTCTTTGCGCTCCATTCCTAGAGGCAACCTTGATATTCTGTCGACGAGGCCCTGACGAGGCTAGAATCGTCAGTCTGATTGACTTTGTCGCCAAAGGGGTGGATTCTATCAATGATAGCGGTGGCAGAGAGCATATTGCGTTCTTCACAAGCGTTATGGGCAGTCGCAACGATCGGCTTGGACTGTATGAAGCTTGGTTCTTGAACAATCTCATTGATATGGTCCCAGACTGGGCTCCTCCCTTGTTAACTTTCCCCGATAGAGGGGTTCGAAACATGACGCTGGACGTCCTTCGCCAGATCCTGTTCAGCGGCGAAGCAGAAGAGGTAGACGACGATTGGCAGACACGCCAGGCCGAAGTAGCCAAGAAATTGGTGCATGCAAGCATCAACCGATTGCGGAAAGCATACGTCAATGTCCCGGGCTCTGGCATTGAGCCCAGAGCTGTGGAGTCCATTCGCACTGTGGTGGAACATTGCCTAAGTACGTATTTTGGTGACAGTGAAGAAGACCAGGAGGCTATTCTACAAGCTCAGGGTACGTTAGTCTAAGAATCATGTTCGGTTTATTGCTACTAACGAAGGACTATACAGAAACCATTACAGCTGTCGAGGACCTTATTGCTGACGTCCCAGAAGAGCTAGCATCTGGTGAGTTGTGATTGCCTTTCCATCCATATCCAGTTCAGCCACTGACCTCGTCCTTTGTAGAAGATTGGGAGGATAACTCCGTCATGGCCAGTGATTCGGAGATGGGGCTGGCAGGATCTCCGTGAGACCTGCGTCCGGTGACGCCTCCGCGGTGGTTCATTGTATCACATATGAGAGACGAATTTATGATAAAACGCTTTTTTGTGTGGTTCTGGCCTGCATTTATCGGCGTTTTCTTCTCGTCCGGCTCTTATAGAATTGGGCCTTTGCTTCTGTTCCGGCTAATGTTGCTTTGTGTGTTGGCTTGTATTCTCTTTCGCTTGAGGACGTTTTCCGTTTCCATGGCATGTGTTAGTGCAAGGGGGAACTTTGACTTGGCGGCTTTACAGTGTCGGTCTGTTATGCGCTTTCTGGAAGGAAGCTAGTTATACAACCCTTGCAATGATGATGATTCATAGGCTTGCGTTACCGAGACGCCAAAGCCGGACTTCGTGAGCGGTTGCTCGGCGTGTGCGACCTGGTTAATATGTGCTTTTGATATCTTCTAGAAGGGTAAACCTGGAGCAAGTTGTAAACTGCACTTAATGCCTGATCTTTTGCGCCTGGCAAGTGGCTTTGGCGTTGTTTAAGTGGCTTTAGATCACTATGGCCCTATATTCAGTAGACAGATATTGATAGTATTTATGCTAGTACGCTGGATTTAGTTCATGGATCTATAATGTTTACTACGTTCATAGAGCAGCCTGAGGCAGGCCAGAACAGAATGTGCATTACTGAACGACATTTTCCATGTCTTCAGTCCAGATCCGCACAATCGTCTATGGATATGGACCAATGAACCGATCTGAAGGACATAACAGACAGTATCTAAGAGTATATCGTGTGAAGCTCAACTTGAATCGAGAACGATGTTACTACAGAAGCATGCAGACGAATACTGTCGAACTGGTCATATGATTAGCCTCATTGATAAATTCCGTTAGCATGCTCCTGATACTGAATGACTTGGCTTGGGTTACGTCTCAGGGAAGACTCACCTGTCAAAATTCCTGGGGTATCTCAAATTCCTTTGTTCTCACCTCACTCATTATTCTAAATCTCTTCAGTTTTGTAATCATGTCAGATGACACTATCTTTACTTTGGACTGACTCATTTCGCCAGTTCTTAGTCTCTTCAGAAGCCATACTACGTCAATGGCCTTTATCTTTACTTTCCTCTTACTTTCACAATACTGGACTCACAACTGTGATTATAGTGACTTTCTCAGGGAAAAGGTTCTACGGACATAAATACCCCTGGAGATCATCCCTTACCACTCACTCCCTTAGAGGCGTCTCTGTTCTAATGCGCTTCAACTATCAACACTCAATTATTCGTACAACTGTCTCTCCTTGCATTTTCGACTCGGCCTTTTGTCAGCTGATATGAGTTATATCCTAGGATCTGCGGATAATTACCAGCTCTCTCACGGTTAACAATCTCATGTCTGATTGGACGTATTTCTTCTCTGGGTATCTTTTACTTGATAAGTTGCTGAGTATTCTCTAGTTGATATAAGCTACATATTGCCGTGTATCAACATCTAATAGATATACTGATCCTATCAGCTATATTGCTTCTATAGTCCTTTGGTGATTGAGATCGATTGCTCAAGTGATGGCTCCTATACTGATGAGACTTGCGGACATTTCATCCATTTCTCCAGAATTGGCTGGCTGCTAAGTTCTAATTTTACATTCATCTATCATGCGTCCTGGCCGTTAAGACGTTTGAAATAAAGGTGGGGGGGGGGAAGGGCGCCAGCGCCCACACCGAGACGGCGAAATCCAAGTCAAGCAGTAATCAAATACTACACATCTTCAAACTCCTCATCATCGTCCTCGTCGGACTCTTCTTCTTTCTTAACCTCCGGTTCAGTCTTGATCTTCTTCGCCGTCGGCCCTTCCTCTCCGCCCGTAGCTGGCGTCGCCGCTGCCGTCTGAGATGTACTGACGCTCGAGTAATCCGTATCTAACTCCCGCTTGATACCAACCGAAGACGTAGTCGAAGTCTGCTGCATCGGCGCACTAGTAGGGCCCCCGCCAGGCGTAGGCGTAGCATTGACAGCAGGAGAAGCAGCCGCATCACTAGCTGACACACCCACATCCTCGAACTCATCAAACTCATCCGAATCTTCCTCTGCACTGCTTGCATCTTCTTGCGCCTGGAGGGCCTTCTCACGCTCCATTTCAGCATAGTAAGCCGCGACCTTGTCATCCAGACCGTTGATTTCCGGTTTCCGGTCTTCGTCTTCGGGCTTGATCTCCGGTTTGATGTCGATGTCTGTCTCAGATTTAACATGCGGCCCGTTGCCCGCGGACGTGGACACCGTGGAGTGGGTGTGCCAGACTGGCAGGGCATTCTGTTTCTCGACTGCCGCTTTGCGCGCCGCTTCGGCGGCTTGTTCGGCGGCGGATTTCTCTTCGCTAGAGGTGAGGGAAATTTCGAGAGCGGTGGCGTCGGTCTTGGTGTTGCCGCGCACGGCTTCTTGTTGTTGCTTCGAGGGCACGATGACTGCCGCTCGTGTGGGGTGGGTTTGCTGGTTCCGGACGACGTCGATTTTATGGTCCCAGGCCGTGTCGAAGTCGTTGGGGGGGATTTCGACGGAGTCGATTTGTTTGAGGAGTTTGAGCATCGTGTCCAGTTGGTTCATTAGTTTGCTGTTTTTCTCATGTCCGGTTCTGTCTATGCCTTCGGCGCCTTTGACGTCCTCGGTGCGTTCGAGGATCGCCCCGCAGTTTTGGCATTCGAAGCCTTCTTCGCTGTAGAGACTGAGGACGTCGAGTTCGGTCCATTCGGAGCCGCAGCGGAGGCAGATGTATTCTTTGCGCTCTTGGCTTGGTGTGTATTGTGCTTTTATTGTGGAGGTGAGTTTCGAGACTTTGTATTTGATCGCGTCGACGACGGGGTGCAGTGGGATGTAGTAGTATTCGCGGTTAACGGGACGTGTTGAGCCATCGCGAATTTCAGCGCGCGTGCTCCTGTTTTTTTTGGGTTGGATGTTAGTGAGGGTGATTCCTTCGTGGTGACACTGGTGTAGGTGTAGATGTAGCTTACACGGAGATGAGCCGATCTTCGCGCAACTTGGCGCAGAGTTTCCGTAAGTCTTTTTGTTGCATGCCTAGAAGAAATGCGAGATCTTCTGCGTGCAGACTATAGAATCATCTGGTTAGTATGGAGTGTCTGTTGCGATGCGATGATATTGGTGCGGGACGTACACGGAGTGGATGAAGAGCGCATCTACTACGAGGATGTGGCGGGTCTCGTAGAAGGCGCGCACGACGCTGCGAATAAGGGTGTTTGCGAGATCCATGATAGCTGGTGTAGTTACAGAGGTTGTTTAGGAGTGCGGAATATAATACAAAGAGAAAATGATGAGGTGTTGGTCACGCTGGAGATTCTGTCGGCGCAACCCGCGCAAATGTCCTTCTTGTCTTCCAGTGTTAAGCTCGGCGCTGCAAGCTCACCATGCTTTGTCGGAGAGCTGATGGTGGAACAGAAATAACAAGATCTCGAATATAGTATGTATAAGGTCGGCAGTTATCGCGCAGGGAGGGTGGGAGGATTGACTGGCGAGAGATGAAAGAGAAGATGAGGTTTGAATGAATGAAGCCGGCGGAGGTAGTTGATACCTCAGGCATACATGCAGTGTCTTGCCTGGGGCATGAACATCCCCGCAAGTGGACTAGCGCGGAGATAGAAATGCGGCAACAGAAAGAAAAGGCGAGCAGAAAAGCGCATCGACAAGCAGCTTTTCCCATGCCGCTCCACATTTTCCTGCGACGCTCTTTGGCCCCCCATCTGTCAGTTTCTGGCGCGCGCACTTCTCTGCGTACCCCCCAAGCGCGGTTCTATTCTCCCGAGTACCTACGCTCGCTAAAGGCCCGTCGCATCCCATGGGACAATAACGAAGGAAGACCTCCGCAAGCCGGAGGCGGAGCTGATCGAGGTCGTAAGAAGCGGAATATGGGACGATCCGAGTGGAGGTATGTTGTGCATGCCCCCGATCCGGGATGTTTGGGTTGAGCAATTGATTGTCTGACTTCCAGCTAACCCAGAAAGTCGGAATATGGTAGATAAGAGAGCCCGGCACGATGCTCAGCAGGAAGCGAAACGTCGCAAGATCGAGAACGGAGAGGAGGTTAGGGCTCCTGTATATGCGACGCAATTCTCCAAGGAGGACATCGAGAGTGAGCAGCGCCGCCCCAAGAAGAAGGTCGCCGTGCTGCTGGGATATTCGGGAACTGGATACAAGGGCATGCAATTGTATGATTACGGTCCTTTGCGGTTTATTTTAAAAAATATCGGAGCTGTTACTAATTGTAGGTAGGAGCGAGACGGAAAAGACCATCGAAGGAGAGCTCTTTGCGGCTTTCGTGGCGGCTGGCGCCATCTCCAAGGCCAACGCAACCGACCCGAAGAAGTCATCGCTGGTGCGGTGCGCGCGTACCGACAAGGGTGTCCACGCTGCGGGAAACATTGTCTCCCTGAAGCTGATTGTCGAAGATGACGATATCATTCAGAAGATCAACGAGAAACTCAGCTCGCAGATTCGCGTATGGGACATCCTCGTCACGAACAAGTCGTTCAGCAGTTATCAGCTGTGCGACTCTCGCATTTACGAATACCTCATTCAACTCACTGTTTCCTGCCGCCTCACCCCAGCACTTACCTGGGCAAGAAGCTCTTCGAGTACGCCGAGAAGGAGGGTGACCTGGAGGGTTACAAGGCGCGACAGGAAGAGGTGGCGAGCTACTGGGAGGAGACCGACGAGAAGTACGTCCGTCCGATCCTCGACAACACGCCCGAGGATATCCGCAAGCTCGTCGAGAAGGTCCTCCACCTGAACGATGAGGACCAGTCCGCGCAAGACGACATGTTCCAGACACAAGACAAGCCTGCATCAGAGGAAACCACCGAACAGCCATCCTCCGAAGGAAAGCCCGCAGATGCTGAAAAAGACGAGGCCGAAGAAGCGCGCCGACGTAAGATCTTCGAGACCGTCAAAGCCATCAAAGCCGCCTATCTCCAGGCTAAGAGGGCCTACCGTATTCCGGCCCAACGCCTGGCCCGCGTGCAGGAAGCCCTCGACAAGTACGTCGGAACGAATAACTTCTTCAACTACACAATCCAAAAGACACATGCCGACCCATCCTCAAAACGTCACATCAAGTCCTTCAAGATGGCCGAACAACCCATCATCATCAACGGCACCGAGTGGCTCAGCCTCAAGGTCCATGGCCAAAGTTTCATGATGCACCAGATCCGCAAGATGGTCGCCATGGCTGCCATGGTCGTGCGCTGCGGCTGTGATCCCCAGCGGATTGTCGAGACTTACGGCGCCAATAAGATCGCCATTCCCAAGGCTCCCGGTCTGGGTCTGCTTCTTGAACGGCCCGTCTTCGACTCGTATAACCGGAAGACCCATGAGACGGGCAAAGACCCCATCGACTTCGACAAGCATGCCGATACCATTAATGAGTTCAAGCAGCGTGAGATTTACGATCGTATCTTCCGTGAGGAAGAAGAAACTCATGCGTATGTTTATCACTCCCCTGTTTTCGTTCGTCCTTGGAGTTATTGATTCAGAACTAATGATAATATCTTTCGTTTAGTTTCTCTGCTTTCTTTGGCCACCTCGATCACTACTCGCAAGAGGAATTCCTCTACGTCACGTCGGGCGGTATCCCTGCTGCCAGACTAGTCTCGGTGCCTGCTAACGGCACGGAGGAGAAGAAGTCGCAGCGCGAGGCGTTGGCAGAGGTGGAGGGTGCTGCGTCGGAGGATGAGGGTGCTCCTCCGAATGGGGGAGAAGAGGGAGGTTAGATAGATAACTGACGTGCTCTCGACAATGAAAGACTGATGTTAGTTATCTATAATACATGCAAGCCATTACCACCCCACACGATCGCCTTAAGTAGCGGCCACACAAATCAGACTTCCCTCAATCTACCCCTCAAGCCCCTCCCCCCACAAGCCCTCCTAGTAGTAGCACAATAAGCGGCTCTCTAAAATATTCCTCTGTATACGGACCACTGCTTAGAAGTGCAGCATTTCTACTAAGATAGTTACGAAACTCGGGAGACGAAAGGTCTGAATACAGTCACTGAGAACTTATTATGCTTATTACTACGAAGCTGGACAATCAGCTGGGGTCTTAGCACTAATTATTGTCGCCACAGCAAGGTTCCCATTCTTCGTCTATTAGAATTAAAGTTCTCCTTGACCATCGGCATTGCTTGTCATCAGACCAGCACGGACGTCCACAACGAGACCATTAAGGAACAAACTGTTCCAATGCGCCAGGACTTCCGGGTGAAGGTGTGTCGGCTTTCGCTCACTCAGACGGTCGTTGTTGAGGATAGCTCCATTGGCGACCACGATCAAACATGCCCTTGCCCTGGTGAGGGCGACGTTCGTGCGGCGATTGTCGGAGGCAAAGCCTAAATGAGACTTCGCCCCTGAGTCCACAACCCAATCCAATATGGCCAAATCCACTTCGTGGCCCTGCATGGAGTCAACCGTGGCTATTTTTATCATGTCCTTCCAAGCGATACTGAGCCTTTCCGACAACTTCTTCAGGCTGCGGACGTACTCTTTTCTCTGATCTGCATACGTCGTGATGATAGCGGAAGTTCTTCCCTTGAGTGCATCGCGACTAATCAGAAACTCCACGAGCTCCATAACGACAGTGACATTGGCAATGTTTGAACGCGAGCGAGTTTTTCCATTAACCACAGCTTTTCCATCAGTGACATCGATACCGATGAGTTCCATACCTCTTTTGAAGTTGGCACCTGGTGCTTTGGTCTTGATCTAATCAAGGAGCGCACCTGACAACTCAGGACCAACGGAAACTGAGTGAACGACCGGGTCATTGGTCATTCTTCCATTGTAGGTGAACTCGGATGGAAATCTGGAGAGGCGCGGGTGCATACGGTGTTGCTCAGAAACTAGTGTAAAGGGAAATTGGGAACGACGAAGTCGGTCAAAGAGCGCTCTTCCCATCTGGTATCCGAATTCGTTGTACCCAGGGACCTCAGATGCTGTGATTGATAGAGGAGGGAGTTGTTGCTGGTCACCTCCTCTGATTGTTCCTAGAATAAGTTTCTGCTTGTTTGGAGTTATAAGGGGTATGAGCACGTCTGGTTCAAGAGCCTGTTTATCTTTGTCTGTGATAATGATAATTTTTTTCTGTTCGCACCAAAGTTGCTTTTGATGATAATCGTGCCGGTTAGATTGTGTGTGCAGGCTATGATGGATGCTTCTTGGACCACAAGTTCACTGATGGTATTCCGGTACTTCTTGAACGCGGTTTCTTCTGCCTGCCATTTTTCAATCTCTTCTGGGAAGGAAGGGTCTGGATGTCGATCCTTTGGCTTAGATAAATAGTTGTCGATAACTTCATATGATGTATTCTGGATGTTATACTTGGTCAAGTCAGTAATTTTATCTGGAATCATGGTTTTCTATTTATTCGTCTCCCGCGCAATATTTATGGGCAGTCTTTCACTAGCGTTCAATTTCTCAGTATATTACTCCTTGATGTAAGTCGGGAGAGTGTAATCGAGATCACCCATGCTTTTCTGTGATGGTAATTCCTCGAGTAGTTGCAAGAACCTGATGAGAGTGTTCTGTTTCTCGGTATTGGTGTAATTCTCGAGGTGAGATTTGTCTGTGCCTGTATCGGAATCCTGTGGATAAGTAGACGCTCTGGACCGTTTCTCAATTTCTTCATGGTGAACCTGCATGTAACGAACCCTACGCAGCGCGGTGAGCTGATCTGTTAGGGCATCCATAGCGACATTTCTAGCTCCCACAAGGAGGATGTTAAAACTATAGTTGTGATGAAATATCGCTACCGTAGCGAGAACGGTGGTTTTACTGTAACCAGGATGACTTTTTAAGAGAGAACAACCTGCTCTTGTCAGGTGAAGAGACCTGAAGGCTGCTTTCTGTTGGTGAGTCTAGTCTCTTGATTGATGGAGACGATGCAGTGCTGAGTTAACGATTTTTTTTTTATTCCCTGTAGTAGGTCCACAGTTGCTAAAGTGCCGTGTTCTTGGTTTAGAAGGTCATGTTATTGGTTGACTCTATTTTCTCCCAAGCACAGCTTTTCGAGGGTATTCATCTGTCTTTTCACCGGGGACTTGTTAATCTCGAATTTCATTAATCTTCTGTAATTGATAGCGGAGTTTTCTTTCAGTAACTTGCCAATCCGGTCGCTATAAAGTAGAATGTTTAACTCATCTGGTGACGCATTCTCGAAGTACTCAGCTTAGTATTGTAAATCCGCTGATTAGTACTATTCATTCAGTATCGGCTGGGCCTGAGATCTGCGGAACTCTCACTGTAAGCTTATTATCGGTGAGTTCTGGTAAAATGATCTCGGTTCTTTTTATCTCCATTGGCAGTAAGTTGTTCTTGAGATGTTCTGGATCAGGACGGACGTGGGCCATGATAGTGGATCTAACTCGCCTGATTCGGATTCCTGCTGGAACTTCTCGGAGTCTCTTGATTTGCTTGTATTGAAGCTATCATTCAATGATCGTTCTATAAGCAAATTTCATTATATAACTATCGATGTCGTGGAAGAAGTCTGTTGGTCTAAACTTCACAAGAGGGATTCCGTAATCTTGTTTTACCAGTAAATGCGGTACCTGTTGGCTGTACTTGATCCTCGGGTCGTTACCGTGGGCGCAATACGCGTTGTATGGCTTGGAGGATGGAAGATGTTTTGAGAGGTTAACCAGAGCCTCGAGAAAATAGGCCGCATTGTTAATTTTCTCGGGACTAACATCGACACGGAATTTCACTGTCTGAAATTCCTGGTTGTTGTGATATGTCAAGTGCTGTAGATGGTCGAAAGCCCTCCTGGCTGGCTTATTAAGATATGAAATAAGCGGATGGTATAAATCATATGAAATGCCACCAGTGGTTGTAAACTTAATGTTAATATAGCATGGATTTTTATACTCGACTTCGGACTCTTTTTCTTTTGCTGCCTTGGCTGTGAAATGTTTTTTGAGGGTAAGATTCTGGATACTTCGTGGTTTCTTTTCTTTGATATGTAATGAGAATTCCAGTCGGGCAGAATGAACCACATTTCCTGGATGTAAGTTGTGTTTTATTTTTGAAATTTCCTTCGTCAAAATCTTCCAAACGAGAGATTTGATGTGATATCTTGGTCGGTGATTCTGAAGCAGACTGCTGTGTTGCCGTGTGAGAAACTAGATTTCTCTGGCAGGAATCCGGCATTAGGAAGATGAAAATGATTCTATATATTTTTGGGGCCCTTGAAGTACTGCGCCTGTGAGGAGCTGTCCTGAGCTATTTTAATTAGAATATTCTGTGGTGTATCTTGGTTATTTTCTACTCGATATGATTGTTTTTAATGGTCTGTATCCATTCCAAAAGTATGAGTAACGAGATTCTGAGATCGGCAAACTTGGTTGTTCTAAGTGATGGAAATGACTTACCGGGAAATCGCTGTTCTTATTCAGTCTCCAGATATTTTGCTCCTCGTCCTGAACCCAGAATCAGGAGTGATCCATAGAAAATATTTGATTACTTATTGTATCCTCAGCCAGTTTGGCTTCTTGTGAACCTGCTTCGGGCTCATCGAAGTTCTGACTGTTGTTAATCTAGTAGACCTGATCAGGGATCGTCTGTGTGATATGAGGATTGTCTGGTACAGCTTACCTGTTCTGTATCTTTGGTAAGGATGTTCTTTTCAGGCACTTCTACTTGATTAGCATTCTTGGCAGACACGCCTTTCTCGGTAACTCTCATGTGGCCGGTTTTATTACCGTGCCAAATAAACTCTGAAGCCAATGGGTTGAGCTTTGCGCCGGGACATGCCATCGCTGAACTCTGTCTTGTAGAGTTACTATGAAGATAGAGAAGATAGAGAAGATGGAGGAAGGCAAGAGGAAGAAGTGAGGAAATATATAGTCTCTCTTCTGGGGGGCATTCACGCCTCACTCAAGTTCATTCTTCAAGGCAATCTCCATTTCACTTCTGGGAGGCATTCACGCCTCACTTAAGTTCACTCTTCAAGGCAATCTCCATTTCACTTCTGGGGGGACATTCACGCCTCACTTCACTCTTCAAGGCACTCTCCATTTCACTTCTGGGGGTGAAATCAAGATGGGAAGCCTGAGAGGATTCACCAGCTCTACGGTATCTTCAGTGTTACTCAGTCAATGTAGGCCTACCAACTAGCCTGCGCAGCAATTCACTAAAGATCGGTACATTCAAGCAGGTAGCCAAAGCTCTAGAACTTTGTATGTCCACACAGTTCGCCCTCCACATATAGAATCATATGTCTTGTGTCCTTAACTTTTCTTGTTCATGAGGTACTCTGGGACAAAAGACAACAGTCCCGTACTGGATACTGTGGAGCTTCTTTCTGGCTTAAGTTCCTGCCCATGAGAGAGCCCAACCACATATCTTTCTCCACAGGCATTCCTTTGACATACACACATCTGCGTCCACGACCTCAAGTATCTAGCAGAAGGCCAAATCAATCTGGTTTTCTTCGTTACGAGTAGGAGAGATCTCAGTACCTAAACTCATCTGCACCCTTGAACGTTCCACTTCTTGTGGCACAAACGAATAGAACCATATTATCCTTTCCCTGCCGTTTTTTATATCCTTCGACTTGAAACTAATGATTATATCTTTTATTCAATCTCTCTGATTTCTTTAGCTATCTCAACTATTACTTACAAGAGGAATTCCTCTACATCGCGTCAGGTGGTATCCCAGCTGCCAGACTAGTCTCAGTGTCTGCTAATAGCACAGATAAGAAGTCACAGCGCGAGGGTATTGGTAGAAATAGAGGATACTGTGTCAGAGGATGAGGATGCTCCTCCGGAAGAGAGGAGGGGGGGAGGTGGGGTTAGATATATCATACATACTAGCTGACGTGCTGTTGATAACAAGGGGCTCATATGTCAAACATGTATAAAAGTCATTGCTACCCAGTAACTATCATGATATGCCTTTCTCAAACAGTACCAGCTAGTCAGCGAGAAAAAGAAAACGAAGGCTTGAAGAGCCCCAAAAGATCATCATTTCAGTTTGGCTGAGTTCCTGGTTCTCGTAACCCCTAGTGGTAGGTGGATCCTGACATACTGTATGGACCACACACCAAGTCCTATTATATCGTGGTGCCCTTGGCATACGCATCCATATACTTGCCCAAAGATGCGTCTGTAGCCATTGAAAATTAGCTGACTGAATCGCTGAATGCTAAGTCTGAAAGGATGGTGAGCAAGCAAACGGCAACGTACAAATAGACACAGCCTCGTTGAGCGAAGTCTGCATATAGGAGGGTTTATCCTGCATGGCCAAATCAGGAAGAAGAGAAAAGGAGTCAGTCACTGCGATTATACATTCCTCTATGTCTTTTCATCCCCGGGGCGGGGGTTTGGGGGGAAGGGGAGTTCCTCGTACCGCCGAGTCAGCTCCCTCTTGCAGCCAATCTTTGATCTGTTCTGCATCGGCCTGCACCTCGGTCCAGTAACTCTGGAGGACCTTAACGTTTTGTTGGAAAACGGTAAACTGCTCATCGCCCAAGGTCTCCAAGCCTGTTCGAGCTTGATCAATGGCATTGATCTCGGCGTTCTTATCCTTGACCTGCTGGTTTTTCGCATCAATCTCATTTTGTATAACTGTATAGAAAATGGGGTAAGCTTCACATCATCCATGGATCAGGGTGCCCAAGAAAGGAAAACTTACTGCCCATGGAAATGGCGATGCCGGCCACTGCAGCAGCTGTGGCTCCAGCGAAAATAAGACCACCGATCTGTTACATACCAATGTTAGTTTACTGTCGTTGATACGTTATATGGAAACAGACGTGAAAGTGTTGAGGGGGGAGAGAGGAAGAAGGAATCCAGTTTGACCGGTGCACCTACCAAGATAAATGGAGCAACAGGTCCCGACAAGGCAAGTCCAATACCAGCTGCTGCCAGGCCAGCTCCCAGACCCACACCGAGGGCCAACAGAGATATACGCAGCTTGGCCAACTTGTCATTCAAGACGCCGATGTCTGCAAGTAGGTCCGCTATGTCCTGCCTCAGTTCCCCTTGCTTATCTTGACCCCACTGAACGAACTGAGCCTTAAACACAATGAAGTCGTTGACTAGAGCATCGAAATCTTTATTGATCTGTTCGCTCTTGGCTCTGAATCCGTCTGCCCTCTATATTGAACGAACAGTTACCTCACTGAATATTGCATGCATATTTGGTAAGGCTCACTGACCGCAATAAACTTTTCAATTTGTTCCAACCGTTGTTCCACGGTTAGGCTTTCATCAGAACATAGCGGAATAATCAACTTATCGAAGCCTGAATTCCCAAGGGATTGTCAACCCGAAGAAGACTCGGAGAACTGGAGGGCAGGCAAAACTTACTGGAGCCATACTGGCTGATGTCGGCTGCCAAAGTGCGGCTAGTGGTGAGAACAGCGTTGTATTTCTTGCAAAGATGAATTAAATCAGCATAAAGGATTCGTGTCCCATAACAGAAACTCTAAGCGGGATAAAAGAAGGGAGGGAGAAGTTGATTAGGCTATCCATACGGTTTTATTGTCATTCAACTGCACCAGAAAGTTTGTCTGTTCGAGCTGATCAATTTCCGCAATCTTCACTTGCAAAGCTGTGAACGAGGTATCAATCGCCACGACTGCCTTGCCAGCAGCACTTGCGTCCTCTTGCAATTTGGCCACTGTGTCCTCCTTGGACATGGTCTTTGCGGCACCCAGCGACAGCTTTCTCTTATCATCCTCGGTCTTGATGGGATTGTTGGCCTCGGCTCCATCGCTGAGAACTTTTCGTTCCTCTTCAGAGAGTGAAGTCGCGACGTCCAAATACTTCTGGGGCGTAGCGTCACTGCCCACCAGCTGGTTGACTTTGTTGGCGACCTCCTCATAGGAGGGCGGGGAGTCACCGACCACGTAGGTAGGAGGAGGAACGGTCGTGGTTGCCATTGTGAGACAGTGGTGGTTGGAAGAGTGTAGAGAGAAGAGAGTAGGGTGAGAATGGATGTGTTAACTTGTGGTGTAGTATGTTCTTCAAACAGATAGGAAGAGAACGATGGTTGAGTCGATAGGAAGAGGTTTCAAGGCCCCTTTTATGGCTATCTTTATACCATACCACCATCGCACATTCATTTTCTTTCCATCTCTAAAGGAGGAGGTGGTCGGTCTGCCTGAATGTCCTTCTTCGGAAGGTGTCATGCTATGCACACCCCTCAAGCTGAGTTGTCTCGGACTTGCAGTGAATGTCAATTAACAAGGGTCGACGAGGAAGATGGCAAGGATGATAGTTGGCTCGGGGAAGAGGGAAAGAGGGGAACCAGCTGAATCCGCCAGGTCCCCATGTCATATGTCACCTGCACCCCCAAGACACAGCTGAGGTTCGAAGGAGGTACAGTGTTCCAGGGGGTATGTCCAGCTTCTCTATTTTGGCCGCCCTCTCAGTCTAACTACACTATAGATTTGCTTGGTTTAGGGACGAGAAAAACATGAGGGAGGATGTGCACGAGATGTGGCAATTGAGTTCAACATGCAGCTCCGTGTGATAGCTCGGAAGACTAAACACTAGTGAGTAGTACAGATGAACTCCCCCGCTTCATCGGGCAGCCATGATAGTATTATACCCAATTGAAACTCGTGTTTCGACCTTAGCTCTGCACAGAGTAATGAAAGAGGAGCGAAATTAAAGCAGCTGAGGTCTGGACTTTCCCCGCTCTACTTCTCCTTTACGTTTTGTGGCAAATGCACGCCATGAACCCCTGTCGATGACTGGGATCGACAGACTTACCCGCGGGGATTGACATAGTTACCATGTGATTGCGAACTATCCTCCAGACTGCGAGTCTCGGACAGAAATTCTTGACTCGTTGCATCATTGACTAGTACTCAATATGGTAGATCATAGACAGGAAAACATATGGATGGGATGGCTTAGAAAACTGCAACATCAGGCATACACCAGATCACAGACAGCACAATATCACACCACCCATGCTCAATTACGAATCCTCTTATCGGCGTTCAACCACTCATCCCAAGGGATTTGGTTGGTCTCTTCGGCGTATAGTCGCAAGTACTTGCCTACTTCCACGTCTGAGCCAAGGAATTAGTCTATGCATTGCATCTAAGCTGAAAGAAAGAAGGGGGTCTTGATATGGGCTTACAGATTTTGGCCCCTTCATTCAGTGCCATGTTCATGTACGTGGGCATGTCCTGATCGCATCAGTATGAGGAGAGAGAGACTGCACCCCTAAAAGGCCAGAATTTTTGAACTTACTACAGAGGAGGCACCATCATTCAGCCATAGCTCGATTTCTCGCGCATCGACGAGGGCACTCTGCCAATAGCCGGCGAGGACTTCGATATGCTCTCGAAACTCGTTGAAGTACTCCGTGTTCGTATCCGTCCCACTTCCTGATCGTGTGGCTAGGTCGGACATGACTCTATCGATAGGTACATATTCCCAATTGGCCACTATAGTCTGGTTAGAGGCCTAGCCTAGTAGAGTAGTGGGGATGCATAAAAAAAAAGAATACATACTAGATGCAGCTAAAGAAAAGGCCGCATTTATCGCTTCGGCGTTTGCAACTCCAAGCAAGCCAGCAACCTGATCTCGGTCAGCGCATCTTTATTTAGCCTATTAATGTGTTAGGACGCCAAGAATACCATCACATATCGCCCGAAAGGTGATACCAGGGCGACTTTGAGTGCCGGGACTTTTGCATCGAGCGGACCAGCTGAACCAGCTGAGAAGATCGTCTTTGCTGACGTCCTCCGTGCGCGGACGGTTTTTGCCTCCTTTTCGTCCTTTGCGTCTGGCTTCAGTAGAGACTGGCTCCCAAGTTGGTCTACGAAATCCAAGGTTTTGTCAAATACAGACTCTAGGGTGCTGTGCATCTCATCTGCCGTGGTTTGGTATCCTTGCGCAACCTAGTTGAGACAGACACGTCAACTAACAATCCGTAGTCCGATGATTCTGTCGCAGAAAGTCCTACCTTGATATATTCTAGGATTGTCAATAGGCGCACATCTATAGTGAGAGAACCATCTGCACAGAATTCAATGATCTTGTTGTCGAAGTCTGCAGACCGTGTTCAGAGAATGAATACGCATTCACATGAAGCTGGTTTCATACCCTCTGCATACTGCGCAATCGTGTTGGAAAGCGGAATCCCATCTCTCATAGTCTCGTAGTAGAGCTAGACAAATGAGACGATATTAGCGAGTCAGGACACAAAAAATGCAGTTTTCCACCATAGTACGTAAAGGTGACTTACCCTCAGAATTGGTTCATACTCTTCAGTGAGGTGCGTGCCGTTCATTGTATCAGCCCGCGCTAAATTGAGGAGAAGCGCAAACATTAGTTCAATGATGCCATGGACTGCAGCAGAGGCCCCGCTGGCAGCATCTCCAAGCACTTGGTCCAGGTCATCCGAAGCCAGTGCCTGCACAGCAGCGGTCGTGAATGCCTCCTTGTCTGTAGATACGAGCTGGTACTTGGCAGGGGACTCAACAAGGACCTTGCGCTCAGACTCAGACAGCGAAGAGACGGCCTCAAGACAGGCCGACACTGTCACCGGCCGGAATACCTGCTCGTTCAATTTGTGGAGGACGCTAGTCGAAGATGGGAGGACTGGAGAAGACATGGTCGTATGGCTTGATTTGCTAACACAGGATGGCAGGGTGTATGGCCAATGATAGTAACTGGAAGAAAATTGCGAGGAAATCGAATCTTGCCTTCTCTCTTTTCTGTGGTGGCTCTGACGTGCAAATGAGGAGCTGAATTTGTAGCTGTTGTAGCTTTTCCCCCTTCACGTGCGGGATTTTCTTTCGCATGTCGCATGACCTGGCAAGACAAATTTGACGCCATCTCAACTACTGGAGAGGGGGTATAGCACTAAGGGACGACTAGGATATAGAAATTCGAACACCTTTTGGAGCTTCCGACATGAACTACCCTGTCGATGCAGTGGCAACACCCGATATTCGGCCTGCGACGGAAACCCAGCATTTCAGCTTGTATGCATGTGCAGGCATTGATATGCAGCTAGTCTATGTAACGTACCTTGGGCAAACACCGACGTTGCAGCTCCGCGTCCGTCATTCTGTGGCAAGATGCAGCAATCTTCCAGTCTGGACTTCTTCTCATGGATTGTATGGAATTTTGTGCCTTCGGCGATTCCGATGCCGTATTTTGGGTGATCTTTTTATGGAAGGGAGCGTTTGGCAAGGTGACCAAGTGACACTGAGCCTAGTAGTATTAGTAGCACTCAGGTAAATCCACGGCTGATTTTATTTAAAGCCAGCATCGACTCCGCTAGTGGGAAGAAAAATAACAATCCTCACGTTCAATTTCCTTGCAAGAAGGTCCCCTATTACCTTACTATTTGATTATATCCCTGTGACAAACCATGTCTCCTCTGCCCGCATACACAGCCGACAGCTCCCCTCCGAGCTATGACGAGGTCGCCGGAAAGCTGGATGGCCTCCTCGGCACTAATCCAACAGTCGAGAAGGCCCTCGAGGCTGCTCGCTCACTTTCCGATGAGGAGATCAATGTCCTTGCCAATGGTTACGAAGATCGCAAGCCACTGCAGACAGATCAGCAAAAAGCCGATTTTGCTGTCGGTGCAGGACAACACCTTTCGTCCGAGGAAGGTCAAAACGGGATGGCGCAGGCAGGAACAGCAGCATCTCAGGCATCGTTCGATATTGATAAACGTCTCATTGATATTCAGCAAAAGCTGGCTGTCATTGACCAGAGATATAACGAGGGGTTTGCGGACACCATTGCTGGTATTCGCCAGGTAGAGTCATCAATCCAGTGCTGCTTGCAGTTCTCTCTGCTGACATAGTTGCATAGGATTACAATCAAGTCCTTCAAAATAGTCGCAACCTGGCAGCTGATATTTCTCAGAATGGCAAAAGTGTGTAGCCATCTCTCGGTGCCCTGTTTCAATTACTTCTTTCTGATCTTGTCATTAGGTTTCGACAAAATTATCATTAAATATTGTGCGGACAGCGACATCGGCATCGAGGACCGAAAGGCCAAAGTCAAGACCTTCATCTCAGTGTGTTATGCACCTCTAGCTACCCCGTATGCAACTAGCTTCGAGAATTCCTACTAACAGCCTATTGCAACCGCAGAATACCAACGGCTTTGAGGCGACCGCCAAAGACATCCAAGAACAATACTCCAACGTCAAGAGCAAATTTTCATCCTTCGTAGAAACATACTCAACATGGGCCGAGGACAAAGAAGGAGAGCTGACACAACAAATCGCTGATCTAGAGGAGGAAATTCGCAGCTTGACACAGGAGCTGAACTCAATTGAAGCTGCCCAGAAAGTAATGGCCGCACTCGCAGGAGCGGCGATCCCAATTGCAGGAGCGCTGGGGACCATCTTCGAGCCTGTTAAGCCGTTGATTCTTGTACGTGATAAACATTCCCGCAAAGAACACTGCTCCTCCCAAGCGAGTTACCTTTTACTAAATCTTAGGTTATGCAGATTGGGGGCCTCATTTTCGCTGGCGTCGCTCTCGCTGCCTCTATTGGTCTACTCATTGCCGCTGAACGTGAGATTCTGCTACGCCTCCCCCCGAATGTCCTGGGAGCTAACTACACCTGTAGGAGTGAAAAACAAGATAAACCAGAAGACATTTGAGAAGGAGGATCTCGAACAGCTTCTAGAGAATATCCGAAGTGCGCGCCAGGATCTGCAGGGCATGCAGCAGAGCGGGTTGCTGTCTTTCCAAGCCTGTCTCGATGTACTTCCTCAGTACTGGAACTCGACTGTTCAGAATGCAGAGTCAATTCATGACTGGTTGGAGAAAGGCGCTGAAACTACGGTACGCACCTGAAAAGAAAACGGTTTGTCCTGAATCGCGTGTAGCACCTACTGATACTTATATTCCAGGCCCGTCCCATGTATATGAACCTGAATGTCGAAAAGGGCGTAGCGTCTTGTACGTTCAACCTTCTCGTGCTGTATGAGAATTTTGCTAACATTTATAGATAACTCTACGGCTGTATACCTTGACAACTATGCGCGCGGGCTGTGAAATCCGGCATAAACGGCAGTCCTTTCGCAGAGGTCATGAGCATTGAGTTTTTGTACTGAGTTTTCCTGAAGGTTTATGGGACCAGCACTTCAAATGTAGTTAGCCATATAAGCATATGATTCATCTACTAGGCGAGCCAGTACCACTGGGCTTGGGGGGGGTTAGGTAGTAGTAGTTATAGTGGTAGCCAGGCATGCTCAAAAGACATTGGAACTCATTAATCATCGTGTCATATTTGAGGAATTTATTTGACACATGATTTTGAATTTGCCGAGCTGAATATTGAGCAATTCCCCATGTACTATTCACCGACCGCTTTCTTCTTCTATATGACAATAAGCAACTTGAGAGCATACACTAGACCACATATATTTGCATAAAAAGCCAATAACCTAGCTAAAGCATTTCTATTTATTGGAAGTTCAGCAATGAAAGTAAACGGTTGATCATCTCTACTAGTAGTATTCACGATAATGCCCGTTACCACCCAGAATCATCGCTAGTGTGAAGACGATGGGATACTATTTATCCCCTATCAAACACGCTAACTTGTATAGAATATACCACCCGTTTCTCGATTATCAAACCACCGGTGACCCCATTTTCTCCCAAGCGCAGCTTTTCGAGGGCATTGATCTGTCTTTTTACCGGGGCCTCGTTGATCTCGAACTTCATTAATCCCTTGTAATCGACAGTGGAGTCTTCTTTCAGTAACTTTCCAATTCGATCGCTATAAAAAAAGACGTTCAACTCATCTGGAGAATCATCTTCGAAGTATCCGGCCATATTAAGCCCACTCCCTTCCATCTGGAAGCTGTACCTGATGTCTGGGAATTCAAAGCGTCAGCTTAATATCTGTGAGTTTCGGGTAATATGACCTCCGTCCCACGAATTTCATCTCCATGGGCAGCAAATTGTCCTTGAAGAAATCTGCGTTCATTCGGACGTGAGTAATAATTGCTGATTCGGTCTTCCGTATCTTAGACATCGACATTATTGCCTCATAAGCCGTTGTCCATGACAAGGGAGGTCCAGACGAATGTGTGCGATATTTGCAGATTCAAATTTTCTTAATTTAATGTCCGCTGATATCTGCTGGATTCACTTGATCTGCTCGTATTGACGTTACCATTCGAGCAGCCTTACCGTTTGCTGTTTAGAAAACTGATTCATCAATATTGTCAAAAAGGTCGAGCCTGGAGGCGCGCCACCGACTGATGGACGCGAGTGGATATGGCTTTTAACATATGGCCCTCATCCGCCACCACTCGATCAAAAAGACCAGCGGCTGTCGTTTCCCACCTGATCCTCTTTCTCCTCTTCTTGCTAGTGGCGCCTCTGTTAGCATCGACTTTGTATCTAGCCAGGGCGTCCTCGGCGTAGCCCGCAAAATCAGTGCCCCGGTTTCTCGCCTGTAGGTGAGACTGCTCGATATTTGACTAGAGCACGAACCCCATAACGCTTGCTGGTCAGACAGTCCGGTCTTGGTCATTATATCATGGTGCTATATGCCATACCATCTCGATTGTAAATTCGTCGACATCCGCACAAGAGTCGCTCACACGTGATCCCAGCCTTCTGGCTGCCTTGATTATTGCAGGACCAGCAATACGCCTCCATTCGAGGAACATACCGTAAGCAAAATAGGCAACGTACTCATCAATGTTGCCAAAAAGGCAAAAATTTCAGGGGCAGGAAATCATAGATCACTTTTTCGTTCTATAATCACGTTCCACAATCAAACGCGGCTTCTGTTGCCCGCATTTGACCCTCATGTCTCTACCGTTGGAGATATATTAGTTAAGTTCATTATATTCAGATAACCCACTGCTCCAGCATGCTGAATCAGAGCACAGCACAGCGCATGGCTTCTGTTGGCCGTATGTGATAGAATTTCTCACGTCACCACTGTGTGAGCGATACCCATTATATGGCTTCAAAAAAGGAAGACCGTCAGCAAGGTTCTTTGAAGCTTCGAGTAAGCTGTCCCTTTTATCAACGTGCCCAGGATTAACATCAAAACGGAACTTTACCCTAGAAAGTCGAAGTTCCTTTGTGTGGCGAGATGTGAACCGCCGTAAATGTTTGGATATCTTCTGAGATGGGTCATCGAATTTGAGAGAAAGAGCCGGATTTATAGCCCATGTAAAAGCCACTAGTTGTAGCAGTCAACTTGGCGTTGATATACTATATACTGGATAGCAAATATAGTAAACTCATTGATGAGTAGTATATAGTGGGAGAGTGCCATATGGAGACACGAGTATCTTATAGGCAACTGTCATAGCTGTCGAGAATTTTGGTTTTATCTTCGTGAGATCCTCCTGTTAGCTGTGTCTGGCTAAGTTTTCGACTATTTTATAAATAGAAGTGGCTTTTGGGTTGCTTCGTGGGTTGCCACTTTGGGCTGAGTTTGACAGCGCTCCGGGCTATAGATCCGATAGTAGTATTCTTGCTTCAAACGGCGAGGCATCTGCATGGTCAGCGTTAGAGTACCGGGCTTGATTTGAACAACGCAAGTGAATTGAAACTGGATAGATATTGTACACTTCAAGGATTCGTACTCTGCTTCCCTGACTTCATCGGCTGTCCCTCTTCCCATAATGTTCATCATCTTCGTCCTCTTTTTGTTTTTCTTGGGGATTTTCTTGGGGGTTGTTTCCCTCCATTTGTTGAACCTCTGCCGACTATGAAATTCTGGGCACAACAAGACCAAGGTGGCGGCAATCATGCAAGATGTCAACCAGACGAGCAGACTGAAGTACATAGCCTAATTGAAACTCTCGCTTGACGGTCTTTTTGCCTTCGCCCAGAGTTCTCAGAACAGGCATTCATCAATAGGATTAAAGAACAAAGGAAAACGATAAATCTAGTATTAAACTGCTGTGTCCAAGTGCGAAAATGAGAGTAGAAATCCGGCATTAAGAGATCGAAACCGAAGCCATCTCTCTCGGGACATGGAATGCTGCGCGTTGGTCATTGCAATTGTGTGTCTGTGTCTGGTCGTTGAGGGCTTTTTTTTTTTTTTTTTTCTTTTTTTTTCCCCTTCGTCTCTCTTATCTTTCGTCATGCGAAGGCTACGGTTTTCATCTTTCTGTATATGAACAAAATGTCAGTTAAAGCAGACACCAAACGGGCAAGTCAGGCTGTGCCGTAGTATTGGGAATGACATACGACGAAATTATCACACAGTGGATTCGTCATCGACATCGGTATCGTGACCCAGAGTTGACATCTCGAGAATCAAGCAAGTCAACCGCAACCACTGGATTCGACATCGATACCGTGCGCTAGAGTTGGTATCCAATGCTGGGAGACCACCACTGTTGCCAACCGAAGTCCAGACGATCGCTTCACTATCCTTGGTGGAAAGTCAGAACTAAGTATTCGGAGACGTCAGACAGGATTTGTACCTCATCAGCGGTCGGTTCGTAGCCTTGCGAACTCAGAGTGGTAGGCTCATCCAAACTCTTGCTGTTGTCACCCTAGTGTATCAGATCAGCGAATGTCTGCGCAATATGCAATTTCTCTGTAATATCTCACCTGCCCTGCACCCTGGGAGGTCACATTCTTCTCAGCGAGATTTATCTGACTCGGTTCACTGCTGTGCCTGAAGAACTCTGCAGTCTGTGAGCTGAGATTTGCGTGGAAGCTTGACATTCTGTCTAAGAGTCAGTATAAGAGGCAGATCATCGTTTGAGACACTCGGATACTTACATGATTCCTGATGTGAGCAAGGGCCGGAAGGGTACGAGTGAAGATCAGATCGATGAAACAATGTGATTTTGACATAAGAAAGGGACGCAGATATGATAATCGAGTATGAAGTAGGAAAGATCCAAAGGAGTGGATGCCTTGACAGGCTAACGATAGTTGCTGATGCTTCTTCTCTTTTCTCTTTTTTTCCTTTTCTTAGTGCTTGATTGTATAGCTGATTTTCAAGCTGCTGACAATCATCAAGCTGCTATAGGTGACTTAGGATGGGGCGGAGTCATGTTTTGGGACATTTGAATGATATAGAAAAAGGGAATTTAGGCCTGAGACTGTAAATGCCTTTCTTTTTTTCTGTTTTTGTAACTTTATGCGATTTCCAGACCCTGGGAATCACGAGACGTAGATGAGCTCAGAATTGGATGTATCTGAAGTGGACAGTTTGAAGAGTAAAGAGATGAGCAAAATGGGAATCGGCCTGGATATGTAGGACCTGTGGGAGAGAGAAGAGGAAGAGGAGGAAGAAGAGAGGTGGAGAAGAAGGAAGAATTTATAGTCGCTCCTGGGTGGGCCAATTCACTTCAAGTAAACACTTGAATTTCTCGATTTATTAAAGATAGGGAAGTAGAGAGGAATGTACTCACTTTATTCTAATGGAATTGAATGTTACTTACGTGCAGGTATTAAGCTTTAAGGGAATGAGCTTGTGAAGCAGTCCATTGAATACCATCTCTATCAACCATTTCTCCAAAGCTGCGGCACCTTGAATGCCAACGCATCAGCCTGCTCGTTACCATTGCGGCATACAACAGAATATCATTTCCTCGCTCTTGAAGTGTATATCTAAACTGATGATGTGTCTCTCCGGTAACTTCAGTAGTCTCGGCCTATACATTGAAGAATGTTATAATGCCCAACGTAATGTATCAGCTTTTATACCCCTCCCTCCCCTCGGGTCGATAGTTTCGTTCCACAGGAGTCAGGATATTGGTTTATTCCAGTGTGGTACGTAACTACTGCTATGTGATGGACAACAATATCCTACTAGTACTCTGCGGCACCATATATAAACTAGTAGTGGGCAAACCATTATAATTGTGAAAGTGGTACCAAGATGTCGTTCGGAGTACGGAGTACGAGCCCAGCTGAATGCGCTAATTTGGGTTAACCCATCCATGCCATCAATAGCTTACTTCAGACTACTAGAGTAACCTCGATGACAATTCTTACAATTGCTAAATTGACCAACAGATGAAATGAACCGAGATCTTTTGATACACAGAGAAACGAGAACTCAATTATAGACTCATGAAGGAAAGGCGCTATGTATCATTAAAGGGCGGTGCAGGAATCAAGGACAGAAGAAAGACGGAATATGACAAACAAAAAGAAACGACAACGCTTGCATAACGAGCAGTGCTGGATGCTGAAAGTCTCAATTCAAATGGTAGAACAAAAGGAAGATGCAGCAGGCAGGCTAGACTCCAACACCATACAAGAAGCAAAGAGCAAACATAGAAAGGAAAAGGCAAATCACAAAGAAGGAGGGTACTAAAATAGAAGCAAATCACAAGAAGAGGTAAAGTGGAGAACATGGTGGAATACAAAAAGCATCTCTAGAACATCTCTAGAACATCAGGGACCGCGTCTTCTGCCGGCGAGCATCCAGACCGCGAACTTCTGGCTGTGACTGAGTGTGCTTGTGGCCAGGACGACCCACGGGTGGCGCCCGCGCCGATGGGGTCGTTGGAACAGGGATGGCACTGTCTTTGGCGGGTGGCGGAGGGGCTACGGTGCTGGGCCGCTTCGCCTTCATGCTTCGCTCCCGCTTGAGAACCATCTCTGTCCAGGCCTTGACTTGGCTGCTTCCAGAAGATCCCTTGCCAACGGCGTCCGCCAGCACCTTCATCCATCCATCTTTGTCGGCCGCACTGTCGGCGTAGAAATCAATCACTTCGCCGTTACCAAAGCGGATGCGGAATCCCTCTTCGACAAACATGTAGCCTTCCTCTTCTTCGGCAAAGGCTGACTTGCGACGGCCACCGCCTCGCGTTGTAGTCTCCTTCTGGACCAGAGAAGACCGGTCATCGATAAGCTTGACTGCTTTAGACAAGTTGATCGTTGCGCGAGGTTGGCGCGTGGTCTCGTGGTATGCAGTCAGCTTGGACCCTTGGAGCTTGAAGAAGCGACGACGCCAGAACTGTGAAAAAATATTAGCGTAGGTCGACAAATATTAAGATCTGCCTGGTACTTACTGGGCAATCACCACCCTGCTGAGAAAGGAACCCTTCCCAACTGCGGGAGGATACACTTTCGGCTTCACGCATCTCCCGGATGCATGCGTTCATGCTCTTGGGCATGTCGTCGTCCTTGGCGCCCTTGGGCTTCGGCACAAATAGAAGCTGCAACTCGAGCTTTCCAATCTTGTAGGGAGGCCGTCTCTGAGAAGTGGTACTGTTGGTACTCTTCTTGCTCTTTACGCTGCTGGGCTGCTCTTCAACAGCCCACTCGTTGAAGCATGCCACGTCCACTGTGTAAGGCCGGCCAAAGGCGTGCTTCTCATGGTCGCTGAGGGACACGTAGGCGCGCGCGAAGCTTCCATCGCGAGCAATGAGAGTTCTCAGCCTGTCCCATACGGGAGCGTTGACGTCACGAGTCTTGTTTTGTTGCGACGCCAGCTGTTGCTTCATATCAAGCTCCTTGCGCTTCCGGGGGGAAGCAAATACCCGACTGAAGGTGGAGGCTTTCTGCTTGGTAGGTGACACTGGCGGAGCAGGCTCTTGAACACGGAACTTCTCCTCGTCCACCTTCATCTGGAGTGTCAGTTGGAACTCGAGATCATTCTGCACGATGAGCTCAAACTCCTGGCCGATGGGAGCGGTCTTGCCCAGTTCCAGCCAGGCAGTGGTAACACAATGGAGTCCATTGTCCAACGTTAGGGCAAAGTACGATCTCTCACCTGGAGCGACTGTCAGACAAGGTTCCGAGATATAGTAAAAGGGTCATGCACTTACCCCGTGGCAGCGGTAGATCGAGATATTTCATTCCGACTACCTTGACAAAGAGGCGACCACGTTCTTCGCCCTCCTCCAGAGCACCATTCAACGCAGGTTCGGTCTCCTCAATGGTCGCGGGGGGCTCTTGAACGCTACTCGGCTGGCCTGGAAGTGGTGGGACGGGTCCGCTCACGGGCTTCTTCCGGACCATGCCGCTGGATGTCCTCATACTCGCCCGGCGAGTCTGTCCGTTCCACGGCACCGTTGTCCACGTTTGCTGACTAGGCTTGCGCGCCGTTGGTGCGGCCCGGGCCGCTGCAGGAGTGTCACCTCCAGTGGCCGCTTCATCCTCGTTGCGGCTACTAGCGATGATAACCTTCGTGTTATGTCGCATAAGGTAACCTCTCTGTTTCAAGACATGCTGGTCAGTTGATGCTCTAGGTTTCAAGCGATGGGCTTCTGGTCCTTGTTGTGGGCCCTCTTGGGAACGAGGGATAAACGCAGTGCTTCTGAGTTGGGACAGGGATTGTTCAAACTGCACCTTTTGCGACTCGATTACTCGATCGAACTCCTTATCCAAGCCGAATCCGAGGCTTTCCTCTTCTTGGATGCTGAATGGGATATCCAGTTTCATGAGACTGGGTTGTCTGCGACTCGGCTCCTTGGTGGGCTCGGNTGGGGTATCCTCCTCCTGCTCCTCCTNCGGTGCAGAGGCTTGCGACTCGTTGGAGTGCTGCTTGGTAAGCTGAGGCATAGGAGGGGGTGGTTGTCCGCTAACCTTGCGGCGCGTTGCAGCCATTTGTTCAACGTCCGCAGGGGTCAGGGATGGACGGGTCTTCAGACCAGTTCCAGGGGCCTTGATGGTGGCAACAGGATCTGGGACACTCTCATCAACGGAAACCTCGTCGTCGCTAAACTCCTCCTCAACGGGGTGTCGTATAACGGACTCAGGAGTCGAAGGTTCTGATATTTGGTCCTGGTTATCCGGTGTCGAGGGTCTCTGCAGCGCTTCCCTCATAGCTGCCATCTTGGGAGCCGACAGTTCTTTGGGTTGCAGTTCTGCTTCTGGTTCTGCTTCCGGTTGTTCGGCAACAGGGTCCTCTCGCACTTGAGGAACAGGTGTGGATTGCCTGTCTTCGGACTCTTGCGACCCGCTCTGAGGCGCCTTGGCTTCGTCTTCTTGAGGTAAGCTGGGCTGATCGCCCTCATCGTTGGCGGCCAAATGGTCTTTGAGGCTTTTTGAGGAAGAAGTTTGAGACTGAATGGTTTCATAATAGTCCGGGATGTCATAAAGATCGTCATCGTGTTCTTCGGGCTTGATTACCACGCTGCTTTGGTCATCATCGTCGTCATCGTGGTATTCGTCATCATCGTCCTCCAGGGATGGGATGGGGACGTCAGGGTCGTAATGCATATAGTGGTGGGGGCTTGATTCAAGCTGCGAATCCTCCTCGAAAGAGTCGTCGACATAGCTCTCACTTTTACGAATGTCTCGGAGAATGGAATCCCGGGAGATACGCGGAGGAGAGAATACCTCCGTAGCCTCTTCATCGTGATCTTCTGCAGCTTCTCCTGGGTTTGAACTCTTCTCGTCGTCCTCAAAGTCGCTGATTAGGTCGTGTTCAGGTTCTGTGTCTGGTTTGGGCGCCTGGTGATCCGCATGGTCTGAGTCTTTGCTCTTCCGTTCGTTTTCCTGGATCATCATTAGACGTAGCCTGTCTTCCAAAGACATGGATGCACGAGCACGTTCAGTAATGTCCGACTTGCTGTACGTGGCGGGGCCTGGAGGAGACGGCAGCACTCGCTGACCTCCACTTGCCAGCTCAAAGGCTGCAGACAGCTTTTGTGGGGATGAGCCGCGCTGGCTTAAAGACGGGCGATTGGTTGGAGGGAGCGGGGGCAAGGGGCGGCGTTCGCCATTGGAATCCAGCGACTCGACGCGAGCATGCTGGACAGGCGGACCTTGGTGGGTGGATGGCCGCGGATCGGGGCTGTGACTTTCATCGTCTTCCGTGAAAGGATCTTCTTCATCTTTCACCAAATCGTCGTTGGCGCTGGCGGGACTCATGTATCGCCAGTCTTCGGGCAGGACAACGGGGGTCTTCTCGAGATCTTCCAAGGAGGCATCGAAACTGTCATCACGGTCGAGGGAAGATTCGCGATCGAAACTGATATCCCCTTCATCCTCTTCTGAATCATAGCTGCCTTCACGGGAGCCAGAAGCGATGGAGGACGGATCAGGCGTGGTCATTTCGTACTCGTGCACCTGGGGCTGAGCGGCGTCGAAAGTTACACTTTTGGCATGGCGACTTCCATCAATGTCGGACCAAATCTCACTCTCGGGGTCAAATGAATCCTTGAACCCGAAGCGACTAGCTCGGGACAGGGAGGACTTCGCCGGAGGGACTTGGTCCTTGCTCGGAGAAGGGGGGCGGGGCCCGCTCGGGTTACTGTCGTGGGACTCTGCCTGTCGCGCAGGGGGCGCATTTGAGGCCTGCTTCTGTGGCGAGCGACTTGTGGCCAAGGGCCTCTGTGGAACATAGACATTGGTCGGATCGTACTCCTGGTTGTAATCGCGGAACATGTTGCTGTTCTTGACCCTCGAGGCGCGCTTGAGATTCTCGAGGGAGGGACGCTTGGATGGAGAAAACGAGGCGTCGGGGTCATAAGGACTCTGGTTCTCCGAGCTCTTGGGGAAGGGAGAGCCCGACTCACGGCCCTGCCAGAAGAGGCGCGGTGATGCGGGTGCTTCATACGCTGATGCTTCTTGGGACTTCATCTGGGGCGACATGGTCAGGTCCAGAAGTCGGAAGATTAACAACAGCACGCGGAGCGACCTACTTTGGTACTCTGGTTCCAACTTGGGGAGTTTCGTCGTTGAGCCATCGGGCTTACTTCGGACAGCGGCCTTTGCGTGGTACTGCTGCCCATCTTGGTGGGAAATGCACGACAACAACTGGTGATTCAAAAGAGGCAAAAATAGCCAGTCGACAAGCGCGCCTGGAAGAAAACACAGCTGCAGGCAGCTGAATCAGCAATGGGTTCTTTCGTCACAACGCAGCAATGCAAGGTCTCTGCAATCATCGCCATCCCTTGCTGGACTGGAACGCGCCCATACCTGGTTGAGTCGAATGGAGGCGAAATAGATGATGAGTCAATCGCAACGAGGTCGGTAGAAATAGTCCGAAACGAACCAGCGCAAATGAAGAACAGAACGCGGACAATAAATGAGTCGCTTGGGATTTAAAATTCACTCGGACGTTAAGCAGCAGCTCATGGGAATCGTAACAGTATGGGGAAAATGAGATGCGTCACAAAATGGCGATCATGCGAAAGAGAGCCGATTCGTCAGGTCTTTCGTTACTTTTGATAGGATACTACTGCGAAAGAATTGGTCCGACAAACGAAGGGATGCTGATCGTAGGCAGAACAGGGCAACCGAGATGGTGAAAATGGGCGATGTGCAACAATGACGGCACGCTCGACAGGATAGACAATTGCAAGTGAAGAAGACAAAACCAACACACCATCCACCACCGGACCAACGAGGATGAAGTAAAAACAAGGAGACGGGGGAGGGGTGAAGGTGACGGGAAGAAGGAAGAAACAGAGAAACCAGACCAAACAGTGTTGACTAGTTGACTAATAAGTAGTTCGAAGCCGTTCGCAAACCGGCTGAAGCTGGGAATCGCAGCTTGACGCTGTTGACATTTTGGCGTCGGGAGTCTCCATGGCAACTTCAACACCTGAGACTGCCTGAACCTGGCCTGAACTTGGCCTGAGCGCCTGTCTGGCCGGCCTCGACACCTCGACACCTCGTCGCCTGGCGGATTGCCCCGATCCCGCCAGTCCCCTTTGGGATTAGCGGGGGATCGTTCCTGTGCCCCGAGCGCCTTCCCTTTTGAGCCTGGCACGGGACCGGCTGCTGATTCTTTTTGGATTGAAGCTCCGGGAGGCAAAAGATAAATCGAGTGGAAGAAGATTCTTGTCGAGTGTTCACCCACGCTTTTCATCGCCGCCTCCCCCCCAACCCTCACCATGAATCGCCTGGGCAGACTGTCTCTGCCGCTACGGCCTCAAGTTTGTCTGCTCTGTCAGACGCAGGCGACCATGTCCTCTCCTCTCGCCGGATGGCAGGCCGTCCGCTCCATGGCAACCGTCCGACAGCGCCGCCAGGCCGCCCGCATGGTTCTGTCCTCCAATGTCGACAAATCCTCCCTGAAGCAAGGACGTTCGAAGAGAGATCGTGCCGGCCCCTGGTCCGGCATGAACCAGACGGAGGCGCGCCTTCGGGATGCGCCACGGTCAAGGTCTCGGGCAGCTCTCAAACGCTCGGGTGATTCCGAAGATGATAAGCAGAAGCCGGACAGTCCTCTCTACAAGGCGCTCAAGATGCAGACGGCATTGGCGCCCATTCCTTACGGTCGCCGAACCGCCATCAAGAACAAGATCGCAGAAGTTTCGAGTTTCGACCAGTTTCCTCTGCTACCGGTCGTGCGCCACTCGATCTCTTCCCAAGCTCTTTCCCGGACTGGCGGACATTGTACCGACTCCCATTCAACGCCTTGCTATCCCACAACTCCTGAAAGACCCTATCCCGAAGAGAACATCTAAAGACGTCTCAGACCATGAACCGAATTTTGAACAGTACCTTCTGGCCGCCGAGACCGGGTCGGGAAAGACGCTCGCCTATCTGATTCCCTTGATCGACTCCCTGAAGCGTATGGAAGTGGAGGACAAGGAATTCGAGAAGTGGGAGGCAGAACAAAAAGCCAAGGAGCGGGAGGAGAAGCTCAAAAACCGGGCTTTCGACATTGAACCGGAAGAGGCTCCGTTGTCGGACGCAGGTAGACCGCGGGTCATTATCCTCGTCCCGACCTCCGAGTTGGTTGCCCAGGTTGGCGCCAAAGTCAAGGCTCTTTCGCACACGGTCAAGTACCGGTCGGGGATGATCTCGTCCAACCTGACCCCTCGTCGGATCAAGAGCATCCTCTTCAACCCGAGCGGGATTGATATTCTCGTCGCCACTCCCCACCTGCTTGCCTCGATCGCCAAGACGGATCCATATGTGCTGAGTCGCGTCAGCCACCTGGTGCTGGATGAGGCGGACTCGCTCATGGATCGGTCCTTCTTGCCTACAACGACTGAGATCATTGAAAAGTCAGCCTCTTCTCTTCACAAGCTCATCCTCTGCTCCGCCACCATTCCCCGCAGTCTCGACAACCTCCTCCGCAAGCGTTACCCCGACATCCGACGACTGACGACGCCAAACCTGCATGCTATCCCCCGTCGCGTCCAGCTCGGAGTGGTGGACATCCAACGGGACCCCTACCGTGGCAACCGCAGCCTGGCCTGCGCCGACGTGATCTGGTCCATCGGAAAGGCAGGCGACACAGAACCGACGCACCCTTTCCTGGCCCAGGCCGGACCCAAGGTCAAGAAGATCCTAGTCTTTGTCAACGAGCGTGAAGAAGCCGACGAGGTAGCCCAGTTCCTGCGCTCAAAGGGCATCGACGCCCAGTCCTTCTCCCGGGACTCCAGCAGCCGCAAGCAAGAAGAGCTGCTTGAAGAATTCACCGAGTCCCCGATCCCTCCCACCGCAGAGGAGATCATGCTGGCCAAGAACAAGCGCCGCCAGGACAACTCCATTCCCTTTGTCTTCCCCGAACAGCAGAACAAGCCGGGCGCGGAGCGCGGCCTCCCGAACACCAAGGTTCTCGTGACGACGGATATTGCCTCTCGCGGAATTGACACCATCGCCGTCAAGACGGTCATCCTCTACCACGTCCCACACAACACGATCGACTTCATCCACCGACTCGGCCGTCTCGGTCGCATGGGCAAGCGTGGCCGAGCCGTGGTCTTGGTCGGCAAGAAGGACCGCAAGGACGTGGTCAAGGAAGTGCGCGAGGGCATGTTCCGCGGCCAGGCCTTGATTTAGCGGCAGCAACGACAACAACCAGCACAACCTGTACTATTATTCACCCTACGGCCCAGTCAAATCATACTGACGAGCCTTTGACGACGGCGTTCGGAAACCGGCAACAAGGAAAGATAATATTTAGACTCCATGCATTGCATGCATTGACTTGAAGCATCACTCAGGATATACACGGCTGTATTTGATTGATCTGACCTCATGTATTATAATTTGTATATTTCTCCCCCAAACCACAACCACAACCACCACATCTCTACTACTTAGATCCTCTTTCTCATACCACACCTGTACGCTATAGACGTCCATCATCTAAATAGACAACTAGAAAATACTACTACTAGTTGTAAAAAATCAAATAGGAATCTTCTTCCCAACAGACTTCCAAAACGCACACCGATCTTCCAACTCGCCCAGCCCCACATTCTCAAACCCCTCTGTGGCAATCACAAATTCCTCCGCTGTCTGCTGTACCTCCGGCACGCCGGGCTCCGATCCATTCGTCAATTTATGTGCGTTGGGGTCCCCCGTCTGGAAGAAGCTGGCGAATGCGCCGGCGTAGCCATCGTAGATCAATGGGTCGGTTTGTTGGACTGTGGACACAGTGTCCCACTACACTCGCATGATTAGTATTAGTATCACTACGTAGTATGTAGATAGGGATATATATCTACATAGGAAAGGGAAAAGACAACATACCCATTCAGTATCACTTCCATGTCTCGCCGGCGGAATGGTATACTCCCCAACATACCCCTTCTCGCCCGCCGCAGAAGCAACCCAGTACGCCGGGCACGCGAGCACCACATCCCTGTAAACAAGTCCCGCGCGGACGAACGTCGTATTATAGGATAGTGTTTCTGCTGTTCCAGAAACAGGGTAGTATTTCGATTCGATGAGATTGATATCGCTTGTATCAAGACCGGGAAGAAAGCCAGTTAGCCAGTTATGGAAGGACGCGAGGGAGGAGTTGAAGCCGTTTGTTGTGGTTGTATCTTCTAGTCCCGGGGGGATGAAGTTCTCGCCTTCGTGGGCGTTGTACATGCCCCAGATTAGATCAGTTTTAAGGGTGTTGGAGGCGGTAGCGGAGGTGAGGGGTTCGATGAGGAAGGTTCCGTCGATGACGGGGGCCCAGGTATAAGATGAGGTTGTGTAGGTGTTGTCCGCGTCGATGATGAGGCTTGCGTCGCGGATGGATTGAACGTCAACTTCTTTAAGGCATTTGAGGGTATCAGAGGCTGTGGTGCAGTTCGTTAGGTTTACCAGCTGGGTGTAGATGGCTTCTGCTTGAGGGGCGTTGTAGGCGTAGGTTTTCGGCCAGAAGGGCGAGCTGGCGAGGGCTTTGGAGAAGAGTTTTGGGTTGGAGCCGCGGCCGTTGGCGAGGATTTGGGCGACGACGGAGCCTCCGCCGGCGGATTGGCCCCAGATGGTGACATTGTTGGGGTTGCCGCCGAAGCGGTGGATGTGGGATTTAACCCATTTCAAGGCGTACTGTTGGTCGAGGAGGCCCGGGTTAAGGTCAGAGGTGGGCGAGTCTTTGATGGCTTGGCCAGGGAGGAAGCCGAAGGCGTTGACGCGGTAGTTGGTATAGACGACGATGTAGTCGTTTAGGGTGCTGACGTTGAGCACGGGGTAGGCGTTGGGGGGCATGCCGAAGAGGGCGTCGCCTTCGATAAGCCGCCGCCGTAGAAGACGACTAAGACAGGGCGGCTGGTGGTGGACGAGGAGGTGTCCCAGGGCCGGGAGTAGAGACCTAGGTAGAGGCAGTCTTCGGAGCCGTTGACGGTGCGCTGAGGGCACATGTCAAAGGATTGGTCGGTGTCGTAGGTGCCATTGGTGATGTTCAACGGGGGTTGGGGCGCTCGGAAGCGGTTCTCGCCTGTGGCTGGTGCTGCAAAGGGGATTTTGCGAAAGTAGGAGAGGTTGTAGGTGGCATCATAGCTGCCCTGGAAGGTGCCATAGTCTAGAGTGACGAGGGGCGCATCGTAGGCGCTGGTGAGGGAGAATGTTAACAGGAAGCACAAGGCCAGGAGGAGGCGTGGAAAGTCCATGGCTGCAGGTGGTGGTTGTATCCCTGGTGGACCTGGCTGGGGAGAGCTGCGCCGAAAGCAGCAGCGTTTTATAGGGTATCATGGTTGCGATAGTACAGTGAGGTCGGTATGAAGCAGACCGAAGTTCATTAAGACTCAATATCGGAGTTACTGGAATACCTGCACGAGCACATCATGAGGACAAGAAATCTCTGGGGATCAAAGCGCCGACAGGGCTGCCATTGGTGCAATTATTCTCCTCCACAATGCAGCATGACGGAGATGCGGAGATGCGGCACCAGCAATTTGCGGGGGGAAGGATGAGAGAGAGAGAGGGACGAGATTCTTCAAGCAATGCCCGTCAGCCGACGGGTGAAAATCAATTAATTCCAAGGCCCAGGGTTGGGGATAAAGTCGTGTACGTACAGAAGTGTACCAGGGGCCGGGAAACGAGCAATAATCTATACAGGGTAACCAAATGCGAGATCATTAGACTGCGCAAAGCCAAAGTCAGACCAGATGAACGAGAAGCAAGATCATTCAAACGTCCTAGAAGCCTTTCAGAATCGCCGGGCTCATGGCAACGCTCGTGCCCATCGTGATTCAAACGCCTATTCTTCCAAACCGGAATCCGCCGGACTCCAAATAACAAGCAAACTCCAGAAATTAATACTCCCAAAATCGATCCATATCCATCATTACATAGTCATCCGAAGGGACCTAGTTCGTCGTCGGCTGGCGCGCGTGTTGCGTCGGTCCTCGCCGGCTTCACTGTCCTCAGTATCTGCGTGAGGCTCGGACAGCTCGGGCGTCGGGGTTATTCCAAAACTGACACCGCGGTCCTTGCGCGAAATGAGCGCTTCTTCCTCGGGGTACAAGAACCGGTGCACAGTGCGGTGGTCCATCACGCGTTCCTCGTCGTCCGCAGGGCCTTCTCTGTCGGTTTTCGGCCATTGGAATCCATACAGCTTGGAATGCCGTTCGCACCGGGGACACTCCCGTCGCGTAAGGTACGAATCTTGCTGGACAAACCAAGCGTTGCAAGTACGGCAATCCACCCAGCGGTCGTATGCCTGTGCAAGAAGCTTCGAGGTTTTGGTGTAGTCGCCAGGAACACGAGCACGGGGTGGCTCAACCTCGACTGAGGGAACGACTTCTTTGCTGCGGGATTTTCGGGATTTTTTCACCACCGTACCGAGCTTCTCGTCCAGTTCTAGGGAGTCCGACAAGTCTGACAAGGCATCGTTGTCCACACCCAGGATACGTCGTTCTGGATCGGCTGAGCCAGTGGAGAGATCTAGGCGTCCCTCGACAGTCAAAATTGGTGCCTGCACGGTAGTCTCGGTAACTTCCTCGATCTTGATTTGCACCGGGTTGTCACAAACGGACGTCGCGGCTGTTGAAGTTGACGAGCGGTGGGAATCGTCCAGTGAACCGGGTGAATCGGGATCAGCGGTGGTAGTGGCGGTGCTCTGCACGGTCGATTCGGTATGGATGTCACTCTTGTTGTCGATGACGTGGTCACTGGCAGTTTCGGCTGCGGCAGCGTGTGGCACGGATAAAGCTTGAGAGGAAAACCCGGCGCCCGCTGGCTGGACCGTGGAAGACTCGATCGAGGGTGTAAGATCGGAAAACACCACCTCGGATCTCAACTTGGAGCTCTGGCGAGTAAACTTGGTTCGTTTGCGGGGAGTTGACGAGGGTGAGCTCTCTGAGTCGGTGTCGGGGACGTGCTTGCGTTTGTTGGGCGAAAGGAGAGCCTCAGAGAGCGCAGGCTCGTCGTAAGCTGGCGTGGATGCGGGACTCTCTTGGTCAGAATCGAGCTGCGGTGCCCAGCCATTGCGGACGGCCCGTTCGCAGGTCAAACAAAGACACTCGCAATTGTCAATGCCAAAGTAATCCTCGCCGTAGGAGACGGTGATTTCCTCTCCGATATGGATGTTGCGGATGGCCACGACTTGCATGCCTTCCATGCCGCGCGTCACCAGTCGTCCGTTGGCGTTGCAATCGTGATTGGCGAACCGAGCGGGACCCAGAAAGAAAGAGGGGGTTTTTCTCCGACTCGACATGACAATGCTGAAATCTTTTCTCTTCAGATCCAGATCCTGCTCCTCTTCCTTGGTCATGGGTACGAGGGTCCCGCTGAGATACTTGATCTCCTGACCCTGCTTGATGAATTTGCGGGCGCAGATGGCGGCCTCATGCTCGGTCACCGTGTAGCGATTGGTCGTAGTCACCTCAAAGGGGGAGTCGGGAAGATACATCTGAATGTATTTGCGGAGATGGCGGCGAAACCATTCCTTCTCCCGGTCAGTAGGCAGCTTAGCCAAGTACTTCTTGAGACCCGGCATGCTCAATAGCTTCGCTTCCGCTTTGGCAGCGTCTTTGTTGACAATAACATCGTGAAGGAGAGTGCTAGCCACATCATCATCTTTGATGCCGCGGGCGGGGTTGTATTTGGTGCGATTCTTGCGAGTGTTGGTCCAAAAATACGCCTGCGAGGATAGTATAGTCAGCGACCAGCTGCATGACGGCCAATCGAGGCTCATAAACGTACACGGTCAACCAGCGCATCTGTTGCGACGTCGTCGTAGCTGGCCAATTTCGCAAGCGTAAGCCGATCCCGACGGTCATCGGAGGGGCTAGATTTTGCCTTGGAGACCGGCATCGTGAAGTTTTAACCCAGACAATCCCATGCAAGAAGATTTGAGCGGGCGATAAGAGTGTGGGTGGGATTAATGGTAGGAATGAGGCGTCAAAGCGTCAAGGGGAAGAAACAGCGGAAGGTCGGGAAGCAGAGAGACTACTAGAAATATATATGGGCGCCAAACTTGAGGGGGAGAAAAGGAGCGGGACTGAGAAGGGAAATTTTAGGGAACGACGTGAATACGAAGAGGAGTGACTGGCATGATGAACAAAGGAAACGAAGGAGAGGCAGTGAAGGTGTTAGCGCGCATGAAAGGACAGACTCACAGACTGACATGATAATAATTAATGTGAAGGCTGGCGCTGCTGCTGCAGTGCCCCCGTCCGGGGTCGGTCGTCGGCGAAACCTGCCGGCCCGCCAAACTGCCTGGCGCTGCTTTTCTTTCGGCCATCCCCATCTCTCTCTATACTCCCCTCACTCCCACTACGTTTATCGCTCCGGACAGGGTACACAGTCAAGATGATTCAATTAAAGGTGTGTGTGCGATTCTACTGGTGTTCATGATGCGGGGGAAAGGAATTTTTATCGGACTGACAAGCCCCGATCCAGACAATGCTTAACTGCATCGACAACTCCGGCGCCGCCGTTGTCGAGTGCGTGAATGTCCTGAAGAAGAAGCGCCCCGCCACCGTTGGTACGATAACCCGCTCTTTTCCATTCACTATTCAAAGGAATAACACTGATGTTGGGGTTCCGGGATGAACAGGTGACCGCATCGTGGTCGTGGTCCAGAAGCAACGAAATTTCGGCCCCGACAGCAGCAACAACGTCGGTATTGCAAACAAGGTTCGCCGAGGAGACATTCGCCATGCCGTCGTCGTCCGCGCGGCCAAGGAAATGCAGCGTCCGGATGGTTCGATCGTCAAGTTCGATGATAACGCCTGTGTTCTCGTCAACAAGTCCGGAGACCCCATCGGAACAAGAATGAACGGTCAGTCTAGGCGTACAGACTACGGCATCACATGGAAAGGATTGGAACGTCTTTACTGACATATACTAGGTGTCGTGGCTACGGAACTACGAGGACGACAGTGGTCGAAGATCCTGTCGTTGGCGCCGATGCATGTGTAGGATATACCATTTTTGGAAGCGAATTGTTCTTATATTTATCCCGTTTGTAGCAATAGAAATTTCTTTCTCTTTTCAAACTCCCCTTTTCTTTGCCCAAACATCGCCAGAACTCCACAAAAATGCTGCTTAACGGAACAAAAACCAAGATCGGGTATCAGGTACATGACATGTAGTATGGCAAATCGAGAATTAGACGAAAACATTGCCGCACGCGCAACAGACGTAGTAAAGTTTCTGGAAAGTAAGCGTCAGCCGATCCCTTCATGGATGCGGTGTAAACCGGCATGAAGGCTTACCATTCCCGTTTCAGCGGAACGCTGTTGCGACTGGAAGAAGACTGCTTCGGCTTCGCCGCAGCTCGGGCAGAGCTTGTTGGAACGAGGAAGCTAGGGAAAGAGTGGGTTAGCCACGGAAATTTCAAGACAACTTGGAATGTATCCATGACGCGAGCGCGGCGCTCGCAGGACCTCATGACGACGAAAAGCCATCATAATCCTCTTCGGACCAGGAGTCCTCGGAGGATATGTCACAGACGAAGCAGGTAATCTCTTCCCCACAATGATCACAGAAACCCGGGAGACAAACCGTAGGATCAGATCCCACATCCTGGGTCACACCGGCGGTATCTCCGACTTGAGTGTTGAGTTTGTTTTGATAGACGCAGTAGGAGGTGGCGGGCTCGCCGACATGGCAGGTTCGGCAGGTGAACATCAACCGGTTGTTGATGCGGTCTTCCTTCGGGTAGAGCAAGTTGGAACTGTAGACGTTAGCAGAAGGTCCGACCAAAGTGTAGAGATCAAAACTTACCATTCACGACAGAATCGGAAGTGAATTTGATCGGTGGGCTTGCTATCGCCACCGGCAGAGGGGGATGGGCTGGCAGACATTTTCGGAGGTCGGAGGTCGAAGGTGTATTACTGATGAAGTGTGCCGAAAAGAAATAGGTTCACGCGTATTAATATGTAGCGAGTGTGTTATATCCGCTCGAAAGCTTCAACTTGGAACAGATAGAAACGAAAGACGCGAAGAGTGGCTGATGGGAATAGCGAGATGGCCGGGGGATCATCAATGGAAGTCGGAAGAAGCGTTGACCCAAGCACCACCGGCTAGTTCCATGACTTGCAGCTCACCGCCCCGTGGATGTTTGCAGTGTTTGCCGTCATCCCTCCCCCGCAGTTTGTCCCGCAGCTGCAAGTACCAGCAAAGCCTCTCCGATTCCTGCAACTTTATATAACTCCACTAGTCCCCCCCCGCGTCATTTCTGGATCCTTGTCTTCCTTGTGAAGCTATAGACTCCTCCGCAGGCTTTAGAAATACACACATCTTTTTCCACAACATGGTACGCCGATACTCAACCCCACCATACAACATCATGTTTACCAAACTTGGTATCGTGCTGACTATAAACACTTCAGGTAGAGACAGGTCTTCCGGCAGGATGGGAGGTTCGCCACTCCAACTCTAAGAACCTTCCCTACTACTTCAACCCTATGACAAAAGAGTCTCGCTGGGAGCCGCCGGCCGACACAGATACCGAGAAGCTCAAGTTCTATATGGCCAACTACCACAGCGGACCCGCAGGACGCTCTGACGGAAACGGTCACAATGAGGGCAAGATTCGCTGTAGCCACCTTCTCGTCAAGCACCGGGAAAGTAGGCGGCCTAGCAGCTGGAGGGAAGCTGAAATCACCCGTTCGAAAGAGGAGGCCATCGAGATCCTCCGCGGCCACGAGGCGCGCATCAATGCGGGAGAAGCCAGTCTGGGTGACATTGCTGTATCGGAGTCAGACTGCAGCAGTGCCAGGAAACGTGGAGATTTGTACGTATCCAATAATACCGCTGCAGGTACTTTGCTAACCTACGTTAGGGGTTTCTTTGGACGGAATGAGATGCAGAAAGAGTTTGAGGACGCCGCCTTTGCACTCCAACCCGGTCAGGTCAGTGGGATTGTGGAGACGGCCTCTGGTGTCCATTTGATTGAACGGTACGTACTCTGAGGTTGATGTCTGCTATGGCGCTATTCATGAGCATTGCTGACGTATTGGATTGCAGGGTTCAGTAAATTTCTATGAATGGCATATATACTACGTGTATTTACTTGGATGAGATCTCTATATCTTTCTACATGAGTTCTCCTTCGCAAATTGCCATTCAATGTAGATCTGTAGGCTTGATCATTATATCCAGCGTATCTTTCAGTCGTTGTATATTGTGCGGCTGCTTTAAAGGACGGTCACTGTATGGTGCAGACTGTTGCTACTGACTTGGATGCTATGGGAGGGATGAAAGTGTGGCTTGCAGATAAAAGGCACCTTACATAAATGCTCCTAAAGACTTGATTACCATTCGGTTTGTTTAATCTGTAAGTACCTGCCCGTTGCCATTTGATGCGGCTCTATAATGATGCCGTGCTGACCTTGGTCCTACTGTATAGGCGTACCCGGCCATCTACAACTAGAATCTATATTACATCTCCATATTGAGTTTTCAGAGCAAGCTTGATCCGTCGGCGAGTTTAACCTTAATGATCAATCAGATCAAGTTATCAGTCTCCTCTACATCGTCAGCACAAGAACGGAAAGCAAAGACCTAATCCTGTCGTACCTGTCTGCTGAGGTGACACCAATGGCCGTTGCTCGCTGTTTCTCGGACCTCCAGGTTTCTCAAAGCTTCTCGTCAATCACATGGTCTTGAGATATCACCATCTGCAGCTACGTCGCTTCTTCTCCTGCCTTGACTATCCTGACTACCAGCCGTGTCCCAGCAACTATGAAAATGAGGATGGAGCGGCAACAAGTCGGAATGTCATTCCATTTACCTCGATAGTTTTCCATCCTTTCCCGACTAGGCAGATGGAGGCGGTGATGGAGGCACCAGCTCTCGCCGTGGCTCTACACACGTACAGTCAGTGCTGTTGCCGTGCCTCCATCTGACCCTCTCCATTTCTCATTGCTCAAACTCCTCACATTTCATCTCAGAAAGGGAAATACTCTCAGACCCAACAAAAATGCTCCCGCCCCAGCCTGAGCATACCAATATTCCTTTCTCGGCCGAGCCTGACACTTTTGACCAGCATCTGATCCAGCTTGGCGTGCTGCCAGTTTCACCTCATCGCCTCATGGACGCCCTGGCCCAAGACGGCCTGAATATTAAAAGCCTCTCCGTTCCCTCACACCTTTCTGAGTCCATACCTCAGGAGTACATTTATGTGGTATCGAAACTTCGCTTCGAGGCCTATAGGGCCATCTGGATCATGCGTTACTGTGACTTCTGGTACCGAAAAAGATTTGAATTCTTGTGTCCAGCCCAGGCGAACATATACATCCAGCACAAGCGATCTGTGCAACTCCTTCTTGGGTGGGATGACTTCAACACACCCATCCGAGCCTCACCTTCTCCGGCGGACCCGAAATTGCCTCAAGATTTGATTTTTTTGCGAACGGACCGGTGTACGTATGCAACCTACTTCCAATTTCACCATACGACGGTGTGGAATACTCGCCTTGGGGTTTACTACGCCAGATACTACCGCTACCTCGTTGTAGCGAAGCATATCCTTGAAAGAGACCCCTTACCATCGGGTGTCTCCGAGAAGCTAGATACCTGGTGGCAAGGGGAATTCTTAGCCGAGATGAAGAAGTGGCTTGATGCATCGCAAAAGGTCCTCTTTGCTCCTTCGTACGATGCCGCTGTGAACGAACTGGCTACGGTTATTACGGGAAAAATTGAAGACGGCATTCAAATGGCACAGACATTCAGTTCTTGGTTGTTCATAACTTGGTTCACGGCTGTCATGACTGATGTCGGAATGAGAACATGCATAAACAGCTTGGGAGATTGCTTTTGTTGGAAATCTCGGCTATTTCTTTATTCAAGTGTGGACATATCCATACATTGCTTTCAATAGAAAAAGAATCTCAGATTTACAATACATTCACTGTAGCGTCGTCTGGTTTTTAGTCGGAAATACCCAGAAACTTGCCCGTTATATTCAGACAGTTCCCATACCGACACTACCAAACGACACCACCTGCCGTTTATACCACACCTCACAACATGAAAGAAGACCAAAGTCTCTTCGCTCTCTAATTTTCTTTGAATACTTAAAAATACTGATCATCTTCTTCTCTGATCACTCAAGTTCTTCCACATGCATTAATTCACTACTACTCTTCAATTTTCACGTGAGCAGTGAACCCTACTAGGATTATCCTGCCTGAACAAGAGGTAAGTATCAGCCATATACATGATATACCTTCATAAGAACATCTATACAATTCTTGCACCTGATTTCTATTGTCTACCACCGTCTAAACGACTACCATCCATCTATCGCTACCTCCCTTCCATCAACTATCAACACCGTGACATCCACCCACTTCATACTACCCGCACCCAGAAATATATCTCTCCACCACCACATCATCAATCCCACCCCCAACCAGTACCCAACAAAACCCATGCCAATTCATAGTACTAACAGCCTTCACCAGTACCGTACACAGACCTCCCCAATCCACCTCAACCCCCCCCCCCCTCAACTCAAACATCAAAAATGTGCTTAACCCTAACAACCAAACACCCCCTCTGCGGCTGCCTCACCACCACAACATTCACACCTTGCCGCCTGGTACCCTGGAACCGCTGCCTCCGCCGCGAGATGATAATAGTAGAGGGAACCCATCGCCGAGGTAATCTTCTCTGCGAAGTATGCAGCAGCAGTGGGAGATATTCCGAACGACGAATGAACAGGCTATACACACTGATGGCATGCCTTGAGGGACTTGACTCGGGTATTGAGTTTGATTGTTTGGATGTAGAGGATGATCAGCATGACGAGGACAATGGCGTTGAAGATGTCGGGTTCGGGTATCATGGTAGGGTGGATGTGGAGGCGGGGTTTGAGGATATTGATGATGATGATGATGATGGTTGTTTGGGTGATGAGACTGGTAGTGTTGGGAGTGAAGGTGTTTGGTATGAAGATGGAGAAGGATTAGAAGGGGATGAGGATGAGGAGGAAGAATATATAGAGGAGGAGGAAGAATCAGAGGAAGAAGAACTGGTGGTGCTCCGGTGTGACCTGAGTAGAGTTTGTGATTCGATTGCCTCGTCGCGCGTTTGTCATGGCACTGGTTTGGTGGGGAGGGAGAAGAGACGGTTTGGAAGAGGGAGGGTACGGGGGCCTAGGAGGAGGAATACGGCTGATGAGGAGGCTATGGAGATGGATATGGCTATGGCGAGGGCGAGGGTGGAGGATGAGAGGATCTCTATTTCTACGTTCTCATCGACATGATGTGTGTGATGTGGATAGAGATTGAGCATGATTTCATTCGTGGTATTTCTAGTCAAACCAAGTCAAGTCATCCTATGCAGCTACGAGTTTATCAATTATAACGCTGTGTTGAGCCGTTCAAGACGAGATGTGATGTTGTCGATGATAGCCGATCTAAAGTGTGTCTCATTAGTATAACCCCTTCACGTATGACAGATCAAAGGAAGACGTACTCTCGTTCCACCATCAGCATAGCATCCGTTATCTTTTGCCTTTGCAGTCGCGCCGAAACCGAAACACGAGGTTGAGCACCACCCGGAGACGCTGGACTGCCCGGTTCAGCGGGGATGGGCGACTTGACTGCGAGTTTCTTGGCCTCGCTGAGGAGATCGCCGGCAATCTCCTTAACCTGCACCATTATTAATATCATGTTTGCTATACTTTTTGGAACGACACTTACAGCAGCGAGTCGTTGTGTCAGGTCGCCCTCGCCCTCTGTTTGATCCACTGACTCCGACAAGGTTTCAACTTCAGAAACCCACGACTTCTCCTTATCGCTGAGTGGCCGGCCACCGGATTTCAGGACCTTGTTGCGCAATGCTTCGTAGCGCTGCACCAGCTGTGCCTGCTTATCCTTCGCTGCCTGCAGTCGCTTGTCCAGTGCTTCTCCGTTGCGTGACCCCTCCATCCGTTTGCCATCCTCACCGATTTCGCTGGACACGCCCTTGACTCGGTCAGCCACGTCGGCGAGCTGCTTCAGCTGGTCACGCATCTCGCCCTGCAGACGCTCACAGCGACGGAAAAGATCTGAGGCAGCGCGCTCGAGGGCGTTGGTGTGGGCGGACAGGATCCGGTGCGCAGCTGCAACCAGGTCCAGCGTGGCAGGGGACAGCCGAACTTGCTCCTTCAAGGCCTGGCGTTGACGGTGCGGGACGTGTTTGTCGATGAAGAATTCCAGGGGGTGCTCCGCGTAGAAGATGGCGGGGACTTGGTAGGGAGGCCGACGAGGGGGCAGGATAGGCGACCCCGGGACTTGGTCCTCCGAGTCGAAGATGTGCAGATCGGCGATGGAGGGAAGGACCTCTGGTGCGTCCAAGATGGCAGCGTGAGGAGTGGAAGAGTGGGAGGTTAGTAGTAAGTAGCCCAAGTCGTAATCGTAGTACACCAATGCGGCTGGCAGGTGGCCCGTCAGGTCTTTTGCGCTTGCGGCATTGCCATCAACCTCGAGAATGCGCTCTCTCAAGGACGCCGTGCCTTCGCAAAGGACCTGCAGGCGGAAAGAGCTGCCCGCGGTGTCCTCTGACTGCAGCTCGGCCTCGAGTCTCTGAACCCAGGAAGTGAGAGAGACGTAGGTGACGTTGTTGGTGTTCGTCACGAAGAAGCTGTACCGCGAGTAGGCATCCTTCGTGAAAGTAGGCCAGTTATTGGACGAGTCACGCTCCTCTCTCATCGTGTCCAAAGACTCCACGAGCAGGAGATCGGATGGTTCGGAGACAGGCGTGCTGAAGACGTTCTTCTTCGCCTTGGGGAGCCACTGTCCTTCAACGCCATCAAGCTCGAGACAGACATGAATCCTACCACTTCCAGTCGAAAGGCAGATGACTGTGGCGGACAGGCGGTCATCTCCGCTCTCTTCCAAGGCGCGCACCTCCTCGCCCATCATGAGCGCATCGAGATCGACCTTGGCGCCGATAACCAGGATATCGCAGAGGTCCAGGTCATCAATTTCATCTCCCGTATCAAACCGGAACGGCCCCTGTAACCTAGGGATCGCGCTGGGATTGGCT